TGCCTGAGCTGCGAAGGCTGAAGCCGCAGCACTGCAGATCAACTGGGGCAGATCGAGACGCAACAGTTCATTAAAACAGCAACGGCTGCTGCTTGATGTCGGCGGGGTTCTTACTTTGCTAAGTGAGACGGCAGCAGAGAGCATCAGGAAGTTTCCAGTGAAAGAAACTCGTTGGCGCCATCCTAGTGATGTATGATTGGGCGCCTTGCTGTCATCAAGGATTGCTATAACGCTTACTGAGAAGCGGTGGGTTGCAGACTTGTATGGTCAACAATGGCAAGTGGCGTTGCTCAGGATTTGCAGGAGAACTGGGAGGATTTCGGCCAAAAAGTGGACCTGACACAGAGGATCAGGGAGGTGCTGCAGAACTATCCCGAGGGCACCACAATCCTCAAGGAGCTCATCCAGAATGCTGACGATTCGGGGGCCAGCAAGGTATGTACCCAACATTTACAACCACCCTGTCAACTTAGAGAAATTCTGCTGCAGACCAGTTTGATGTTCTCAGCTTCCACCCTTGATAGAGGGGAGAAAGCGCACCACCTTACAAGGTTCCCTCTAAGCAAAATTATCATTGTTGAAGAGGGACCGCCTTCTTGGTTTAAAAGTTGATTGGGTTCATGGTGCCTGAACAACCTGCTTCAAGGGGTTCCCTCTAGTGGCTGGGATCTTGATAGGGCGGTCGCTCGCTTGACAAGTTTGGGGCCAAGCATAAAGAAACCTTTGAAGAACTCTAAATACCAGGGTATTTTAATCTTTAAGGTGTTGCTGAGAAGACATATTGCATCGTTCGCTCTTGCGCCGGTCAAAACATAAGATGATTATCAAACAAAGCTGTCACTCTGGTCTGAAAAGCTGGTCTACAGCTTTGATCTCAGCAAGGTAGTTGCGTGTTCTGGAGTGAAGGAGTTGATTGCAGGCCAGCGTTTCAGAAGGACTTTTTCATGATGAGCTGAACATAAATTGTCACGTCTAGTTTTGTTGCATCATTCTTGATTAGCTGGTTATTTTATCGGCCATTCACCTTTCGCTTGGAGCTTCAGCTTTTTGCCTCAAAGTTCGTGCGGTGGCGCCATACGACGGTTGGGGCACTCTCCAGCAAGGGTATCAAAATGACTTTGTTCTCAGATAGTTTGCAGAATTGTGCCTTTCCAATTGTAGCGTGGCCTCTAGGTTGATCCCCCTCGTGCAACATAAGCGGATATGGAAGATATTCTCGTGCTACAGTAGAAGGTGGCCCACCAGGACTGATCTAAAACTTGTTGCCAAATTCTCACAAATGATGTACATATTCCTGTCACCTGTGATTGTTGCTGGCTTTCTGCACGGAACACAGTCAACGATAAACTACACATAATTGTGCGTTTAGAAACAGCAGATCTCAATACGGGACTGTGCGAAACTGATTGTTCCGTTCCTTTTCTTGCCAGGTGATTGTGTGTCTTGATCGGCGCCACCATGGCACTGAACGGTTGGCCTATGGCGGCCTCGCACCGTTCCAAGGGCCCGCGCTTTTGGTGTACAACAACTCAATTTTCACAGAAGAGGATTTTGAGAGCATCTCGCGTGTCGGGGGAAGCAAGAAGAGGACACAGGCCGGGAAGACGGGGCGGTTTGGGTGGGTCTCAGTTTGGTGTCCCTCAAGTTTTGGCTTCTGCTTGCTTTCTCGCTCATTTTTTCCTTTCTCGCTCTGTCTTTGCTTCACCTGGCAATTATCATTTATCAAAGAGAAAGGAAAAGGCTTCAAGGGTGGTGTAAGGCAAACATGTACCTTAGTCTGCCACTTCTCACGACATTCTCTAGTTACTTCGCACCACCTTCCCTTGTAGAACGGATGGCTACTAGGTCTAAAATAAGGACTTTAGATCTGAAACGGGCGCTTGCATGACAGAAGGAGGACAGGAAGTGAACACTTTCCTTCCTTTCCTGACTCTCGTCTGTTGACATCACACCTGCAGTGAACCCGCACCACTGCACTCGCTCCATGGTGGCGCCAAGCCTGTGCCAAGCGACAATCTCACATTATTTCTCAAACTAATATTTTGCAGGATCGGCTTCAACGTGGTGTACCATCTTACGGACCTCCCCAGCTTCGTCTCCGGTCAGCACCTGGTGTACTTCGACCCACACTGTGCACATCTGCCACGTGTCAACGCTGCCAACCCCGGCAAGAGGCTCGACTTCGTCCGCACGCCGGCGAGCGACTCGCAGCGGGACCAGTTTGCGCCGTACAAGGTCTTTGGTTGCGACATGGCCAGGCCGTTCAACGGCACGCTCTTTAGGTAGGCAGAAGTCTGAATTTGAATCTTATCTCTCTCTCACTCGTAGCTCCCAGGTCCTGACTTGTGGACATGAGGTTTTCTTTCCTCGTTACTCAAACTGTCAGCTCTCCGCACTTTTGCAGGCAAGGATTGTTTGTCACTTCGAGCGTTGATTTCCTTTCTTACCCATCTCCGTCTCTGAGAAGTCGGCGTTGTCTTACGACTCATGCGAACCGTTCAAGTTGCCCATACCAGCAATCGAACGGATGCGCACCATCTGCGGGATTCCTGGTCCATTCCGACCTATCCTCATGGCCGAGATTGGCCATCCCGTGGCAGCAGGCCTTCGAGGATAAGTTTAATCCTCGCCAGAGAAAGAAGGGCATTGCACCGCTGGTCAGGTGCTTCCGATGAAAATAATCACCGAATTTGACGATATTATGCACGAAAAGATTTTCTGTCGCAAACCCAATAGATTACCCTTTTTGCCAGGTTCCCGCTCCGCACGTCGGACCTCGCGGCCGTGTCCCGTATCTCGCGCCAGGCGTACAGCGTCCAAGGCATGTCCGAACTGCTGTCCGAGTTCAAGTCCGAAGCAGTGCCGTCGCTCCTCTTCCTGAAGCACGTCGAAAGCATCGACCTCTTTGACTGGGCCGCCGACGCAGCCGCACCAACGAAGCTGTTTACTTGCGAGCTGGAGAACTTGAGCCCGGAGATTCATAGACACCGACAGGTGAGTGAGCCACAATGAGGCATCTTACCCCTCTGATGTTGACAGGTTGCTTCGTTGGATTAGAGTACACAATTTCACTTGTCGGGTACTTTTACTGACAGGTTCGAGCGGACTTTGATAACTCAAAACAAGTGGGCGGATGCAAGGAGAGCGCTTCTAGTTACCTTGTTTTGAAGGTCGGGTGGGTTCATCAAGAGGTTGAGCCGAACTCTGTCTGCTTCAAATTGTCGCACTGAGAGCGGCTGTCAGTCTCCAATCGTTCGCCAACTTTGCACCCAGGAACGATCAAAGCCTTCTGAATTTTCATAACCTTGCGTCCGCTGTCTTGCTGTTTCGACATTTGTCAACGAGCAAACTTTCTCGACTGCCTTCCTGTGCTGCGATTCACGTCTTGTATCACCCGTGCTCAGCCCAAACCATGCCTCCGAGTGTCCCCACTGTCCTCTCAAACTTCCCCCGCAGGTCTTCTCGCAAATTGCCCGAAACCCCCTCCCCCGGACGCCCGTCTCCGATGTCTTCGCTCTCGAGTTTCGGAACAGAGACGAATCGAACGGTGGTGAGGAGACGCACGAGGTGTACCTCATTTCTCAATACATGGCGGGGAGCCAAAGTGCGATTGGGGCGATCAAGTCGCGGGCCGAAAAGGAGTACGACCTGTATCTGCTGCCGTGGACGTCGATTGCGGCCAGGCTGGACACTGGAAACGACGCGGTGAGCGTTCCAACTTAGCTGCTCTCGAAGTGTTCCGCCTTGCCTCCTTCTGTTCAAAGCCGTTCAAAATGTGTCATCAAGCGTGACGCCAGAAACGACGCGGTGTTGTCTCAGCCTGATTCGCTTCCGGACAATCTCATCAGGATTGGTGTAACGGGGATTGCTATGGTTTCTTTCATAATTTTGTGTGCTTCGACTTTTTTTGAGCAGTCTTGTGAACTCGTGATGAAGCTTAAGAAGGGCTAAGAAGTCAGCGGGTGGATAGTGACGATCATCTTGGCAGCGGAACAAGCTTTGACGAATCTTACAGAGGCGTTTGGACTTCCGTTCGCTTTGAGGTTTTCGAGGCTGTATGTTTGCTTCGAAGCCTCGTAGACCGTTTGCAACTCATGTTTGCCATTTACATCCTGTCCGCTCGTCGAACTGGCCGTCTGCAGCGATGAAGGCTGCGGCATTCGAGGTCCTCGTTTGAAAATTCTTCCAGTCATTGCGATCAAATTCTCGTTAAGGCACCGTCGTAAAGCTGGCCAACCACCTGACTAAGCACCGGTTTGCACTGTCGATTGCTCCGCCGAGCGTCAACTTTGGATCACTAGATCCACTTTCGCACTTTCAAGAGATCCATGTTGCTGCTCTCAGCTCCATTTGACGCGTCGGTTTTTTTTGGTGCAGCAGGCCCCGGCGCTCCTCAAAGGCCGCGCCTTCTGCTTCCTGCCGCTGCCAATGACAACGGACTTGCCCGTCCACGTAAACGGTAAGGCAATACGAACTTACTTGAACCACAGCGTTGGATCCCGTTGACTCTGGATGTCTCTAGCTACTGGGGCATGCTACATTCAGTCCACTCTCGACTGTTGGATATGGTAGCAGGTTGCCGAGGCACTGCCTCTGTGCATGTTGTGCGATATCATCCAGTTTTCGGTAGCAATGCTTTTGATGTACGTTCATTGTCTCCTGTGGCACACCACAATCTTTGCAACAAACAGTGTCCTCCCTGCATTCGATCGTATTTTTTTGAGTGAAGAGATAGGCTCATCCTGTCAAGAAGGTCAAAGGCTTCCGAGCATTGTCATTCTTACATACGTTGAGAGAAGGCACGCGTAGAATTATCGTCACCAATCCTACTGTTGAGTCTAAGTGCATCCTAATCACGCTCACCGGTCATTCTTTCCCTTCCAGGTTACTTCGAGCTCTCCAGCAACCGCCGCGACCTGTGGATGGGCCTCGACATGGAAGGAAGCGGACGCCTCCGGTCCGAATGGAACCGGACCCTACTTTCGGACGTCTGCACCGCTGCGTACGCCCAACTCCTGCATCGGGCGACCACTCAGCTAGGCCCCTCCTCTGCCTACTACGCCCTTTTCCCTGCCAACAGACCGGCCGAGCCTTGGAGCCTTCTCGTAGCCAAGCTCTACCAAGCCCTGGCAAACGTACCGATCCTCCACACGAGCGCCGTCGATTCGGGCGCCCAGAGATCGGACAGTGCAAACGCGGTTGGCCGGTGGGTTACTCCCCGCGAAGCGCTGTTCCGCGACGAAGAGTTTGCCCGGGGCGCGGAGCTGACGTCAGCACTTGTCAGCGAGGGGCTCCCGGTGGTCGAGCCCCCCCTGGGGCCGCGGGCGCTCCTTTTGGAGTACGCGACCGGGGGTCAGGCGACCGTATGCATGCCGGCGCTCGTGCGCGCGCATTTGCGGGGGGGCGGGGTCCACCGGGGACTAGAGCGACGTGAAAACGCGCTGACGTTCCTGGAGTATTGTTTGGAAGACGTTCTCGACGACGAGGCGGGGGATCACCTCGTGAACCTGCAGCTGATCCCGCTTTCGGACGGTTCGCTCGGACGGTTCGCTCGGCGCTCCAGACCGTCCGGACAGTCCGAAACGTCCGGGGCGGATTTTGTGCTGCCAGCGAGCGAACTAGAGGCGCGGCTTCTGAGCGGCGTGCCACACCGAGTCGTAGACGGGAAAGTTGACGGTCCGCTCGGGGAGCGCCTTCGGAGCATCGCCGCAAGTGGGGGCACGAACGTCCGTACTCTGACGGCGCCCACTCTCGGACAGTTGCTGTCCGACATTCTTCCGAAGGAGTGGAGGGGAAAGCGCAACGTGGCCTGGGAGGTCCTCGGGGCAAACGCGGAGCTAGACCCCAGCGAACGGGAGCAGGAGTTGCGGCTATTCACACAACGGGACGAGGTGTTGAGAGCCCAGTCTGGACGGCGGGTGAGCGGAGCCCTGGTCGTGGAGCTGAGTAGGCAGCCCAGTGTGAATTGGCTCTCGGACCTTTGGCGGTGGCTCGGGGAGAAGTCCCGGGGGGATGTGCGGACGTTCTCGGACTGGCCGCTCCTGCCCACTTCGGACGGTGGGCTGTGCCAGCTGTCACTTGCTTCCGCCGTCGTTGGCCCGAGTTGGGAGTCTCTGGAAGGCGGAACGGCGGGTTCCTCTTCCAGAGGTTACGGGCAACAACGTGGGCCGTTGAGAAGCGACGAAGGAGTAAGTGCTTCCGAAGGTAACGTGCAGCAATCTGGGCAGTCGAACAGCGAGAACGGATCAAGCGGAGTCTCGGACGGTATTCCGTTGCGGAGGGTAATAACGGTGTTGAAGAAGCTGGGCTGCCGGTTTCTGCACCCGGGGGGAGCAATTCCAGTCGCAGAACATCCCCTTGCCAGTCAGTTTCTACACGCTCCGACTGCATCCGGAATTCTGAGCGCATTCAGTGCAGCCTGCGAGAGCGACGGCGCAGGGCTGGTGTCTCAGCGCGTGGCGAAGCTAGACGTGTCCGAGCGCGCGTCCTTGCGGCGCTTCTTCACACAGCCAAGGTGGTGGTCGGGAGCGCCTGTCCAACCCACCATTGTAAATATCGTCCGCTCACTGCCAATCTTCGAAACGTACGGCTCCTCCTCGGGGGGGCTAGTCGCCCTGGAATCTAGCCGCGTGTTCCTATCCCCAAAAGACGTTGACGAAGCGCTGCTGGGGGAGTCGTTCCTGAAACCGGCTTCGGCAAACGAGGCGCGCATTCTGGCCGGGTCCCTAGGGGTGCCCGTTCTCGGCCGGGCGGCCTTCTACCGGACCCACGTGTTTGGACGCATCCTGGGCTTGCCCGCGGACGTCCGCAATAAGAGCATGCTCGCGGCGCTCCGGGACCTCCCGGGGCTGTGCTCCGAGGACTCGAGCTTCCGGGAGATCATCTCCCGACTGCCTTTTGTCCCAGCAGGGGGGCGGAACGGGGAGGAACTGCTGCCCCCCTCGGCGCTGTACGACCCCCGGGTTGAGGAGCTGGTGCTGCTGCTAGAGGGGGCTCGGAGTAGCAGCGGAAGTCAACCCCCTGCTGCTGAGACCACAAAAACGGATGCTGCAACAAACGGGGAGAGCAGTTGGAGGGAGTCAGAAGAGGGGTCCGGGGGCAAGTCCGCTTCGCCAACTAGTAGCGGCTTCTTTCCGAGGGGCGAGTTTGCCACGCCGCAGGTTCTCGACGCGCTCCGCTTCCTGGGTCTCAAAACGAGCGTCTCCCAGGAGACTGTCCTCGCCGCTGCTCGCGCTGTGGAACAGCTGGCGGGCTCGGACCCCGAATCCGCGCTCCTCCAGGGGCGGGCGATCCTCGAATATCTCGAGGTGCACGGACAGCATTGGACGCCCGGCGCGGGGGAAGAGGTCCGAAAAGCGTTCTCCAAGTTTGGGAACTATCTCGGCCTCAAGGAGGCACGTGCCTCGGAAACCGGGCTCGAGAAGTTTTGGTCCGACCTGGGGAGCACCCAATGGTGCCCGGTAATGGTGACCCCTCCGGACCCGAGCCTGCCGTGGCCCTCCGTTACCGGTACCGTCTCCGCCCCCCGTTTCTGCCGCCCCGCCTCCGACATGTGGCTCGTCTCCGCATCATTGCGGATCCTCGACGGGGAGTGCCGGTCGGCCGCCCTGGCGCACCAGCTAGGGTGGGACAAATCCCCGGGCCCTGCCGTGCTCGCTGCGCAGCTATTGGAGCTCGGGAAGCGCCACGCGCGTGTCGGCGGGCGTGCGGTCGGGCGCCAGCTGGCAGCCGCCATCCCTCGAATTTACACCCTGCTTCACCAGCTTCTTGGTCGGGAAGAGATGGACATTGTGAAGGCGGTCCTTGAGGGGAGTGCCTGGGTCTGGGTCGGGGACGGATTCGCTGCGGTCGACCAAGTCGCTTTTACCGGACCGCTCAACCTGGCGCCCTACTTCTTTGGTACGTCCCTTTTTGGATGCTCGTAAGCTTCAACTGAGATATATGGATCTCCCCTGATACAGGAGCATTTACCTTCACTGTGGATGTACCACTTTCAGAACTAGAAATTTCGAGTTCAGTAGACAGGCGCCGCATTCAGCGAATCAAGTCACCTCCCAGAAGACGAATTGGGTTCTTCGTTCCTGCTATCGTGGCACGAACTCACTCGCTGCGCTTAAGTGAGCAGCGGACTCTTCAGAACGAACAGTATACTTTGCTTCGCCCTTCTGTATTGCACTCTCAAACGGAAGGTAGCTACTTCGAGACTCAAGAACATATTTTCGCGCAGTCATCCCGTCGGACCTCTCCGCCTTCCGCGAGCTCCTCTCCGAGCTCGGCGTCCGGGACGGCCTCGCGCCCCGGGACTACGCGCGCGTGCTCGCGCGCATGGCGGCCGACACGGCGGGGACTCCTCTCCAGGACGCGCAACTTTCGATGGCGATCTGGCTGGTGCAACAGCTGGCGGACGCACACCTCCTCGCAGAGGACGCGGGGTCCGGGATCCACGTGCCGGACGCGGCGGGAGTTCTGGCGCCCGCTGGGGAGCTTGTGTATAACGACGCGCCGTGGCTGGAAGGGTTTGGCGGCGCGGCGGGGCTGGCGCCGGCCGCGACGGCGAGCAGCTCGCGGTTCGTGCATGCCAAGGTGGGCCTGCGCTTCCCACTCTGCTCGTCCGGCTGAATGATCGTTTGCTGCACGCTTGCCTGAGCAGGTTTGGAATTGGTTCTCAGATTAGCTGGCTCGAGAGGTTTGACGACGTGTCCACTTCATCTGGCTCTGAAAACGGGCTAAGCGTGCTGGCCCTAGTGTTAAAAGATTTGGCTCCTTTCTTACGATTTGCGGATTCACGTTTTCCAGTGCCTATACCTAGCACTGGACTTCGTTCTTCTTTCTCGTCCTTGTTCTTGTACTTCGAAGGAAGACTAGATTGCGTCGGTCAAGCGATACGCGTTTGCTATGACGCCCGCTTGATCGCCCCCCGATTTTGAACACCTCGAAGCGAGGCAGCACGCCTGCCTCGTCAGAACGCGAACTGCAAGCCAACGCAAACCGCAAGCCGCAGAATGCCAATCGCAAACCGCAAACGACATCCTTGACACCGTCCCGTCCTGCCAGGTGTCCCACGAGGTTGCCGAGCGCGTTGGTGTCCGGTCCTTGCGGCGGCTCCTTTTGGCTGCAAATGCGGACTCGATGGATCTGGCGGTGGGTACGGCTGAGGCATTCGGACAGCACGAGGCGCTGACCGTCCGATTGAAGCACATTGTGGAGATGTATGCGGACGGGCCGGGCATCCTTTGCGAGCTGGTGCAGGTAAGCTTCTTGGCTTTCCGGTTCCACTGTTAGGTTTTTCAGCCTCTGCTTTCCAGTTCACATGCCGTATGACGAATCAGTTGAAGGTACACCTGCCTGATTGGAACGTTCTTTTTGATTGCGACCATTGCAAATGGACACTCATCGTTCTGAACCGATGAGGAACCTTAATCTCAACGACCTTGCCTCCGGACAATCTTAAAATGACCCGAATCAAGCGCTGTCCTTTTCTGGTGATGTGGAGGGCGACGTTTGTGATCGCACGTCACGCATTCTGCTATGCTGAGAGAACTTCATTCCTCTTTCAAAACGCGGACGATGGGGGCGCGATGTTGATGGCGATCGTACTATACCACGAGCGCTTTGCTGTCGTTTCAAGTGCTCCAAAAGTTCTTACAAAACTTCCCTTCTAAATCAGCCTAAAAGCGCAGAAGCTTGTGGCTTGGGAAGTTCACGAGCGTTATCTTGTTTCAGAACGCGGACGACGCCGGCGCGACGTCGGTGGCAATCGTCCTTGACCGCGAGCGCTACGGGGCGTCGTCCATTCTGAGCCCGCGCATGGCGGCCTGGCAAGGGCCCGCGCTGCTGTGCTACAACAACGCGCAGTTCACCCCGCGCGACCTGCACAATATCTCGCGCATCGGCCAGGACAGCAAGCTCGAGAAGCCAGCCGCGATTGGGCGGTTTGGGCTGGGCTTCAACTCAGGTGGGGTTGAGGTTTCCAAGGGTCCCGCGTCTACAAGTTTTTTGACGATATCGGTTTGTCCTTCGAAGTCAGATGGATTTTGAGGTTCCCAGGGCCGTTGGGGTTTAGGGACTTAGCGCTGTCTAGAGTTCCGGGACTCTGACATCTTGTGAGAGTTGGTCAGGTGGGGTTGAGCGAACCTGGTCATGTCTGTAGATGTAGAAACACGTCCTGTGCAACTCCTTCTGGCGGGCTGTCGTCAACGGACGTGGCCGCGGGTATCTTTTTTTGCCTTGCGAGCACCTGCTCTTCCTTTCTGTTTGATCCAGTTCTTTGAGCAAGTAGCGTGCGGTCGGTACCAAACCTGTCTCTGGTCTTGTGAAGGCTCGTTTCCCGCATGCACTTTTCGTTCCTACTTTCAGTTCCTTGTTTGAAGGAGACTTTTCTTCACTGAACTTCTTCATCGCCCGTGCAGTGTACCATCTGACCGATGTCCCGTCGTTTGTGAGTGGCGAGTACCTTGTCTTCTTTGATCCCCACGCCTCGCACCTCCCGGGCGTCAGCCCCTCCCATCCAGGTCAGCTTCTCCCCCCTTCTTCATTTCATATCTGCTGGGCATCGGCTTCATACCTGTGGACTTTGCGGTCTTCAGACACGCGAGCTTTGGGACTCTTGCAAGGTCACTATGTATAATGAGAACATGCGCAAGTTCTCCGGACAAGTGTGACTGGAGATGTAGCAAGATGGAGAAATTGCTTGGAGCTACAAAATCTGTGCGCAACTCAAAACCTGACTTTTTATCGTCCAGTGCTGATCTGGGTCTCTGCACGACCTTCCTTTCCCCTCGCTCGACCAGGATGCTCCGAAAGTGCCGGGCGTTCGCTAAGGTTATAGTTTCTTAGGTCCTGAAGCCGTGAGATGTTGTATACAAAGTCCGACCTCTTGTTTTTGGCACTTTTGTCAAAGCATCGCGTCTCGTACAGGTCTCAAGATTGGGTTCGTCGGCCGCGGTCTGACCCAGCAGTTCCCCGACCAGTTCCGGCCATACCTGCGCTTTGGATGCGACCTCCAGCACCGCTTCCCAGGGACTCTGTTCCGATTTCCGCTCAGATCACCGGAAGCTGCACGGAAAAGCGAGATCAAGCAGGCAAGTTGCTGGGTCTTGAAAATCTTCCGACTCTTGAAAATACTTCCTAATGTTTGTCCAGGAGTGACATGCCCTGATTGTTATATTTTGGCTTGTGCTTAGCTTCGCAGAAGCCAGAGGAGATTCCTGAGCGTAAGATCAACCCTTTAAGCATGCTACGGCAGCAAGTATCACACCGGTCGCACATCGAAGCCTCCGGCCCGCTTCCACATCTGTGATTCGAAATGACATCAGATGTCATTCCTGAAAGAAGGAGAACGAGTGAATGTTGCTGGTCCAGCTCAAGCTGAGGCCCCATTTGTGCCTGTCCTCCAGTCCTTTCCTTCAGCAGATTCGACGAAGCTTCTGGGGCTCAATCTTTCCACTGCCGAAGTTGTTGAGCGCACCGTTTGAAGTTTCTAAATACACATGAAGCGCTCCTACCACCCCCGTTCGCAGGAACCCTGCGACATCGCGGCCCTCACCGAGCTGCTGTACAGTTTCCGCTCCACCGCGATCGAGGCGCTCCTCTTCCTGCGGAGCGTCCGCAGCATCAGCGTGTACATACGAGACCGACCGTCCGAACCGCCCGCTAACCCGTCCGAAACGCCGCTTAACCCGTCCGCTAACCCGTCCGAAAACCTGGAGCTCCTGTACAAAGTCGAGCGGGCGCCGAGCCTCCAGGAAGACCCGCAGCAAGCGATCCTGAGTTTCATTCGGGGGGGAGGACGTGACGTCGTCGCGTCGAAGGACGCCTTTCTGCTGCGCCTGCAGCGCGCGGCGGAGAACGGCCTCCCGGGGGGGTGCGCCAAGGTGGACATCCTCACCACCGGAACCCCCCGTAAAGAGGACTCCCCGTCTCCCACTCCTACTGTACATACACCCCCCAATAAGCCCGACTTCGACGGAGGCGACTCCGACAAGTATAATGCTGACGTCATCCTTGACGTCAGCAGGGCCGGAGCGAATAAAGAGCGGGCGGTGGAGCGGACCGGCCAGAGCTGGCTGGTGTGCAACCGGCTGGGCGGGGGGCGCGCGCGCGCACACGCGCTCGCGGCCGAAACGCGTGGCCGGGGGTTCGTTCCGTGGGCAGGTGTCGCAGCACGGTTGGACGCAGAGATTGCGGGCCGCGCGTTCTGCTTCCTGCCGCTGCCGGTGACAACGCAGCTGCCGGTGCACACAAACGGCTACTTTGAGCTGAGCTCTAACAGGTGGGCGGCGTTTCTCCATGTGGAGGTTCTTGATTTGGATCCGTGGAATTCTGACTGTTTTGTTCTGGTCCAATTGTTTAATCGGTTTTGACCCAGGGTCGTGAATAGTTAGCATCAGCAGGACCGGTCGGAATGTGTTCAGGCCGCATACTAAGCTTTGCCGTGTTTTTCTACGGGTTTGGGTTCTGAGATGATCCCTGATTGGGTCTGTAACGAGGCGCCTTATTCACTGGCATGAGACGGGAATGATGAAGGCGTCAGAGACCCCTTCGCTAGTGCCAAAACCATATGGCGATGGATAAAGCTCCTGCGTCTTCACCTTCGATCCCTCTGCATTTGTGTCCTGCTCTGTGCTTCCGAGAAGAAGAGCGCGAATCCTTGTGAACATGCATGTTGAACCACACGAGGAGCACGTAGAGACGAATAAGAACAAAGCTGATCTATCCGTCTTCCTTCCTTCACTGCAGGCGCGACATCTGGCAGGGCACCGACCACCTGGGCACCCGCAGCAACATCAAGTCGGAGTGGAACACGTGTCTTCTCGAGGACGTCGCCGCGCCGGCATATGCCCAGCTGTTGGTGCACGCAGTGAAGCAGCTGGGGCCTACTCCGGAGTACTCTCGGCTGTGGCCGGTGGGCGACTTGAGGGATCCCTGGAGCCGGATGGCGGGAAAGCTGTATGAAGCGGTGGTGGACCTTCCAGTGCTGCCAACAAAGGCCGGTGAGAGACAAGTGTCATCCTAGAGGAGGAAAGAGAGGGGCTATGAAGTTGTTGGGGCTGACTCAGAAGAAACGGAGATGAGAAGATGACAGTAAAGTTGCGAAGCTTTGCTCTTTTGAGAAGCGGATGGCTGGAAGGGCCATATTGGCTTTGTTTGTCGATCCAGGTCCCCCGAAAGAGAGCATTGCTGTTTGATTCATCATGATGTCTGGAGGCTGCACTGCACTGGCATAAAAATGTTGGCGGGTTTTCCTTCCTTACTTAGCCAAGAGCGCTTGCGGAGCACCTAAATCACATCAGTAGGGGCAAGTCCAATCGGTATGAGTTGCAAGGTTGCGAAATTGTAGTCTGTGTTGGCTTTGCGCGGGGGACCCTTCGAACTGTCGCTTTAGGTTTGCCAAGAGTGGCCCTCGAGGTTTCAAGCAAACCCGACTGCAGTAGGTGCTGGTAGTTAAAGAAGGTACATTCAGCGTTCAGAAAAGTTTCCCTGCTTCGACCTTCAAGCGGTTTCATCCAGCCCCTCTTTTCTCCCATCGCAGGGGGTGGCCTCGGCAGGTGGATCACCCCCCGTCAGGCGGTGTTCCCCGACTTTCCGTTCGGCGACATGGGCCCGCTCGGGGCCGCTCTGGTTGCGGCCGGGATGCCGCTAGTAGACGTCTCGCCGGAAGTCTGTGCCAAGTTCCAGCAGTCATGCCCCAGCCTGCGGTTCTTGACACCACAGCTCCTGAGGAGGCAGCTCGCAATCACTGGGGGAAGAAGGCCGAAGCTGACGGACAGAGCGACAGTCGTGATGGCTCTCAAGTGAGTCCTTTCATTGTTGTTGCCGGGTGTGGTTTCGTCGCCACTTTGAGCGACTCTCAGGGGCTCGTTTATCCTTGTGAGTCCTTGTGACTTGGCAGAGGCCTGCATTATTGATCACATCGGTTCTTGTCGGCCGTGGCTCAGCACAGTTGTTCTTCTAGAGTGTTTGAAGCTCGTCTATCAAAAACCTCGTTTAGGATCACCAAGTCGTATCCAAACTCCTTATTCCTTGAGCTTTCCAATGCCTTTGCTAGCACCAAACAAGAACTTTGGCACTCTACAAGGCGCCCTGTGTTCCTCTTCCCCAGCAAAATGCCTAGCAAACTGAAAGTCGCCCTCTTTGTGCCTTCAGGTACTGTCTCCAAGGCCTGGGCGACACCCCTCCCGGCGACCTCCTTTTGGGCCTTCCCCTCCTTCCGCTTGCGGACGGTTCCTTGGGCACTTTCGGACGGCCGTCCGAAGGCCCCATTTTCCTCGCCACCCCCGAAGAGTACGCCGTGTTCGCCAGCAAAGTCCCGCGGCTGTTCCTGGAACAGGGCCCTGTCGTCAGTGAAGAAACGCGGAAGGTTCTCGAGGGGCTAGCCGAGGCAGGGGGAACCAATCTGAGAGTTCTGAGCGCGGCTGACGTGGCAAGCTCTCTGCTGCCGAAGATTCTGCCCGCGGGTTGGGAGCGGCGGCTGGAAGTCGAGTGGCGGCCTCCGGCCGATGCGGAGGGTTTTGCAGGGGGTTTTGACGACCTCGCAGGCGAGGTTAGTGATAACCCGGATCAAGGGTCGAGCGGTCACCCGAGCGTGAAGTGGATGACGGGTTTCTGGAAGTGGTTAGGGGCCAAAGGCGGGCTGGAGCTTTTCACCGACTGGCCTCTCATCCCGACGTCTGGAGGAACGCTCTGCAAGCCGCTCGAAATCAACCCAGCGCCGGGTTTGGAAGATGGCTTTGACCTTGACCCGGAGCGTAAACCATTCTCCGTCGTTGTGCGAGGAGAAGCGCTGAACGAGGGCGTCGTGGGTTTGCTCCTAATCGCGGGCTGCCAGCTGTTGCGAAGTGAAATTGTGGGGACTAACCCGGTTCTAAACCAGTTCGTGCACAGCAGCACGGCTACGGGAGTGCTGGGGGCGCTCTCTGAGGCCGCAACTAGAAAGGGGTCCCCACTGACGGAACTTCTGGAAGCGGCGACGCCCAGTCAGAAGCAGGAAACGCGGGCGTTTCTCTGCCAGTCGAAGTGGTTCAACCAAAGCGGGGCGTCAAGTTCGGAACCGCAGCAGAGGAATAGTAGTTTGGGGAATAGCTCAACGGCAGGGGATAGCTTATCGACTGCCCACCTGCGTATCCTTGCGGCTCTTCCCATCTTCGAGGCGTACACCGGCGCCGAGACTACCAGCGCGAGTGTGAACAGGCTCTTCGTCGACCTGGCCAGCAAGCCGCGCTTTTTCCCACCGCCCGGCGTGCCTGAGTCGCTGCTGAGTGTGAACTTCCTCCGGTGCGAGAACGAGAGCGAGCGCGCACTGCTGGGAAGACACCTGGGCGTCGAATCCCTTGGACGGGCGGCCTTCTTTTCGGACCACGTCTTCGGACGTCCTGAGATTCTCACTACTGACGTTGGCCGGCGGGCGATGCTGGCGGTGTTGGCGGATCTGCCCAGTTTAGCTGCAGAAAACCCGGGGTTACGGCCCAAATTAACCCGGTTAGCGTTTGTCCCGACTGGCGCGGGGACACTCGCAGCGCCCGCAGACCTGTACGACCCCGGTGTGAACGAGCTCCACACGTTACTAGACCGGGGCGCGTTTTTCCCAAGCGAAGAGTTTCAGCGCCCAGAAGTCTTGGAGGTTCTGCGGGGCTTGGGTTTGCGGCGTGCTATGGGCCGAAAGGGTTTGTTGGACAGCGCCCGTTCGGTGGAGATGCGGGCTGGGTCGGACGTCCGAGAAGCAGTCAAGCGCGGACGGGCGCTTCTGCAGCATCTGGACGACTTGGAGCGCGCGGCTGAGCCCCACGTGGCACCGGGCGGGAGCGTTCCCACCGCCACTCCTGCAGACGACGCCCCCGGTTCAAATCCAGCCGGAACGGAGCCCGTTCAAAGTGTCAACCTTTCCCCGGTTGGAAATGCTGGGCCTCCTTCCCCGGCTCCAGAAAGCGATCTCGAAGAGGGCGCCTTTTGGACGCAGCTGGCGGGTATCTCATGGTGTCCCATTCTGGAAGAGTCTCCGGACGTCCGGTTGCCGTGGCGGAACCTCGGCGGGCCGCTCGCACCGTCCAAATTCGTACGCCCCAAGGAGGACGCCTGGCTGGTCTCGTCCGGGTTACGCCTTCTAGACGGCGAGGTCAAGTCGGCTAACCTGAAAACGAAGCTGGGCTGGGGGGATCCCCCGGGCGTGAACGTGCTGGCGGGCCAGCTTCTGGAGCTCGGGAAAATGTATCCCCGAGTGGAAGACGAGGGGTTAGCCGAGATTTTGGGAGGGGCGGTTTCGACGCTTTACACGGCGCTTCAAAATGTTGTCGCAACCGAGGAGTTCGAAGTCGTGAGAGCTTCGCTCGAGGGAAGCAACTGCGTCTGGGTGGGGAACGGCTTCGTCTCGGCGCGGAGCATCGCCTTCGAGTCGCCCGCCAACTTCCACCCATACCTCTACACGATCCCGTCGGAGCTGGCCCCCCACAGGCGGCTGCTGGAAGCTCTGGAGGTGCGGAAACGGTTTGCGGCGCGGGACTACGCGCAGATGCTGTTCCGGATGGCGCGGGACGCCAACGGAGAACCGTTGCCGAGCGAGCAACTGAACGTGGTCTTCCGCGTTTTGGATGTCTTAGCGGATGACCCGGGGCCTGCCCAGGTGACCTCGATTCTGCTCCCCGACAAAACCGGAAGGCTTTCCCGAGCGGAAGATCTGGTCTTCAACGACGCTTCCTGGCTGGCCGGGGATGCGGAAACGGGGCCCCGGTTGGTGCACCCGGACGTTTCAAACGAAGTCGCCGAGAAACTGGGCGCGCGTTCCCTGCGCTACATGTTTTTGGTCGACCAAGAAATGACGAGCGACGTGCCGTGCCCCGGTTTGGAGCTAACACGCGCCGTTACCGACGAACCCAAGCTGGTGCTGTTTGACCTGCTGGAGGTTGCTGACGTGGCAGGCGCCCGGAGGGTCGAGATTTTGATCGACGGTCGGGAACACCCTCGGCAAAGTTTGCTCCAGCCGAACTTGGCGCCGTTCCAGGGCCCGGGGGTCGTTTTCCGCATGGACGGGCCCCCCCTCAGCGTCCAAGAACTTTCCGCGCTCTTCGCCTCCCCTCCTGCGAAACTTCGTGGACGGAACTGCACCTACGGGAGCGCGCTTCTGAGCTGTTTCTCGCTGACGGATTTACCGTTCATCGCTTCGGGGGGGCTGCTCTACATGTTCGACCCTCAGGGAAACATTCTGACTGCGTCTCCAACCGGCGAAATTGGAAAGAGGAAAGGCCCTACCGGGAAGGCGTACTCACTGACCGGAACGGACCTGGTAACCCGCTTTGCTGACCAGTTGGCGCCCCTGGGGTTAACGCCGGATTCGCAGTCCGGTTTGGCCGTAACTCAGTCGGAGGGCACGGTGATCCGGCTGCCCCTGAGAGTGGCGTCCGAAAATCAGCCGGGCGCTTCGACGGACGTCCGAGAAGCGGTTGACTTCTTCCAGGAACACGTGGCGCCGTCTCTGTTGTTCCTGCGGACTGTGGAGGAGGTGGCGGTAAGAGTTTACCAGCCGGGAAGCGACAGAGCTCAGGAGGTGCTGCGGTGCGCCATTCTGCCGCAGCATGTGGAGCTGAGACAGGTGGGCACAGCTGCATTCTTCGTCCTTTCTACTTTTCCGTTCTTTTATATGTCGTCAGTCAAATCTGCCACAAGTTGCACGGCTCTCTTTGCGGTGCTGTGACGGCTTCTGAGCTCGTCCGTCTCGTCTTCTGGTCGCGAGGTGGTACAAAGCCGTGAGCTTACAGTCCCACTGAATGAGCACAATGGCATGCAATTTTGTTCCCTTCAGCTCGACCCCGTGATTGGCGATCGCACCTGTGCACCTAGTGGGTTGTGTTGCGGTTGCCCGCAACTTTTGACAGCTTTCGTGTCGTATCTTGTGACATGTTCCTTTGCTGCTTTTCTTCTTATGCAGCCAAGCTGCCTCGAATCTGCTGATCGTCCCCGCATGTTTCCTCCTTTCACAATAGTTGGCTTCCTCAACTTCTTAAGTGTTGTTTCCGTCGTCTTTTCCTGTCCGAAACGTTCCCAAACCAGTTTCAATTCTGATCAGAACTGTATTCATTAGACCAGTCTTACTTGAAAACGTCTCTCCGGACTTCTTCGCAGTTCCTTTTCAACGATCGAAATCTCGAAATCCGGTGGGCCAGAGATCCTGGCCCCTTAATTGATACGAAGACAGCCACTCTCTCTCAATGTTGAGCCTCAATCGTCCCCCCTTCTCGTGTGCAGCCGTTCCAGGATCAGCAGAAGAAGCGCAGCAAGTTCGCCATCAGCAGCCTCTTCAGCGGACAGTCCTCCGTCGTCCGCACCAACCGCATCGCCGTCGAAACCTCCTCCGCTCAAAACCCTCAGCCGGTGCTAGACGAGTGGCTCGTGGTACAAGCTCTCGGCTCCGGGAAGACCCGGGACATGTCCCTCGACCGCAAGTATTTGTCGCTCAACCTAGTTCCGGTCGGGGGAGTGGCCGCACACGTCATGCGTGACGGGATGCCCATACCCCACCCTGCGGCCGTGAGTGCAGAGCCGGAAAGAGGTTCGAACGGAGGGAATGTGGGTGGCGCAGCGAACGGTGGCGCAGAAAACTCGTCGGTAGCTCACGAGAGAAGTTCAGACGGCGGAGAGGGATGGGCTCATTTTGAAGAAAGAGAGGAGGAGGGGCGAACGCCCAACGGCGACTCTTTGACCTTGGAGGAGAACGAGGGCACTTCCTCCCCTTCGGACGCTGTTCGAGAAGAACCCAAGCTGCAGAGCTTGCCGCTCGACTTCACCCCTTCTTCGCGGATCCCCCACGCTAGTGCGGTTCACCTGGGGCTGCCGATATGCGGAGGAGAAGGCCTCCCGGTGATCCTCTCTGGCCACTTCCTACCAGCTAAAACCACCTCTGGGCGCCAGCTGTTCCAGCGCGGTGTGAATGCGCCTCCCCACTCGGCCGATCCTCACCAGCCGTCCCCCGACTTTCTTCGCCTCAACTGGAACCGAGAGCTCTTGCTGTGCGTCCGAGAAGCGTACGTCGAGCTTCTCGTGCATTTACACCGGGCAAGCAACCCCCAGACGTCACAGCCACAGCGCCCCCAAGGCGGGAACGGTCGGCTCGAGCCAGTAATGGTTCCCCCGATGACCCCCGAGCGGCTGTATTCTTACTGGCCCCGATTCACCATCGCGGCTCTCACCGGACAACCGGACGACTCGGTTCTTGCAGAGACGCTCGTCCGGCCGATGTATGGGCTCCTAGCACAGCTGCCCCTGTTTCTGCTCCAGACCGGGGTACGGGCGAAGATTGGCGAGGGCATGTTTCTGGCGCCCCCGGCAGTTCAAGAGCGGCAGGGGGTCGTGCCGCCTGCCAGTGTTCTCCAGTTCTTGCACCAGCACTACCAGGTAGGCTTGGCACGCCATTCTCCTCATCTTTCAGTTGCTACATGCTTTTGCTTCTTCGACTTTGCAGCGTCCAAGAAACAGGCCATCCTAGTTTGCAGCGGCATGAAACTCTTCATGGAGCAATCGCGAAATCGTGTGTAAGAATCTACGGAGCTTGCTCCGACATTATCAGTCGTTCTCGAGTGCTACATAGAGTGAACCTTACTTCGAATTCAACGTTCGTAGCATCAGAATTCGGCGATCTGATAGAAACTCGATTGTTCTTTCACGACAATTATACTTGTTTGGGCTGCTCCCTAAGATCATTCGTCCCGTTCAGTGTTTCCAACACTTGTATTCAGTTGGTGCAACAGATCCTCGGATTCAGACCACTGCATTCGGTCACCAAAGCTTATTCGTTCCTGCTGCTCGCTGCTCGCGTCATCAAATCCTGCAAAGACTCGGCTCTTTGATTCCCTAAACGTAGGGTCGAAGCGTCGATGAACTGCCTATTTGACGCACCGCTCTATTCACCCGGTTCCGGGACCTGTTCAGCCTGCATTGCAGATTCATATTCTCTTTCCTTTGCAAACCCGTTCTCTTTTTCCCCTCGGCAGGTGTTTGCCGTGCCCTGGGAGATCCGCGACGAGTTGCACGGCGCGGGCGTTTCCACCAGCGACCTCACCCCCAAGATGCTTCGCTCTCTACTACGCTCCCCCACCGCTGCGATCCACCAACTCCCGGACCCCCACCAAGCGCTGCTAACTCAGGTCGACCTACTCGAGTACTGCTGCGCAGACCTGATTCTAAAACCGGACCCCCTGGCTCTCGAGCCAGCCCCCGACCAGAACGGGGTCTCCCGTGAGGTCGGGAGAGACAACGACAGGGAAAGGGCGCCGAATGCAAACGGCGGGGAGCGGTTGCCACGGGCCGAGGAACTAGGGCGAGGGGAACAGGAGGCCGCGATCCGTGCGCAGGCCGCCGAGCTCCGGAGAATCACTCAGGGGGCGACCGGGCCAGCCGGGGGACCCCCCCGGGGGGTGGCCCTCGTATCGCAAAGCGCATTCGCTCCGGACATCGACCGGTTGTTCGGCGCGGGGTCCGCTCGAGCTGCGGACACTTTCGTCGCAAGCATCGCCGGTGCGATAGCCGCCGGCGGGGGGCCCGGGGCCCAGGCAAACGGCCCCCCCGCCAGGCGGGCTCCGGACGCTCCGGTTGAGGAGGTGGTGCGAGATGCGGACGGGAACGTCGTCCGAATTGACGGCCAGAAAGTGACGGAGTTGATCGGCGTCCGGTGTCCGGCAGCCTCTGGGGAAATGTTCCGGCTTGGAGGGGAGGCGTTTTTGGCGACCCCTGCGCAGGAAAATCTCCTCCCGGGGCTGGCGCCCAAGTTCGTGCACTCGCTTGCCACGCAGCGGGGGTCTCTTTCCACACTCTTCTCGCACCCCCAGTTCCGGGGCGCGCTCAACCTGAAGCTTTTCACACAGCAGCTGCTGGCAGCGAACCTAGGAAGTGCGCTGCCGAAAGTGTGGGCGATAAGAGGGACTCCGATTATTGTCCCCTGGGACTCTCACCCCCACGCGCTGCCCAGTGCGCCGTCGCCCGATTGGCTGAAGCGGCTCTGGCGGGAGGTCGGGGCGAATGGGGATGCGCCACGTGGCGCCGCAGGGAGCGCGCCAGATGTCGCCCATCTGTTGGACGGCGGCATGTTCGGGCGGTGGCACCTGCTGCCAGCGGTGCAGGGCGCGCAGACGGTGCTCGTGCGGGGGGACCAGAAAGACCTTGTTTTCTACCCCCCGGCTGAGTTGGACGACAACGGCCCGTTCTTGCGCGATCTGGGAGCTTCAGAGATCCCGCCGGACAACCATTCCGACAGCGAAGAAGAGACCGACCCGCTGTTGGATCCGAGGCGAAATCGCGATTCGACGAGCCCTTCACAACCCGCCCCCAACGAAACTTCCGCTGCCACCAGCGGCACCGAGGACGCCAGCACTGCTCATGACGTCAGCAACCCCCGCGACGCCAGCACGACTGCTGACGTCAGCACCCCAGATGACGTCAGCATCAGGAGAGCTCTTACCGAGACGGCGGTTCGTTACCCACGTCTGGCGGCGGCCCATCCGTGGCTGCTGCCTCTTCTGCGGAGCATTGGGGTCCCGATCTTCGACACCCGTTTCAGGGGGGTGTGCGAGAGGCTGGTGAAGCCCCCCCCCGGGAAGGACGTGGCGCAGCTCCTCCTGGCGCGCCTGGGGGCGCTGCAACAGGCGCGCGTTCTCGACGTGTCAAGTAAGCAATCTCGATGAAAGGTTGTTTCTTTTAGATCATCAAAAAGTAGACTTCTGAGTACGGCATGCGGGCCTTCGTCCATCTTTTATGTAAAGTTAGTTCTAAAAATCTGGTAATTCTTTCCCGGCAGCATTGCTAATCTTGATTCTTGACCCGTCCAATTTCTTGGCGCTTCTTCTGTGTTGAAGGCTTACAGTTTCCCAAGCGTCCCGATCCTTGCTCTCACGGGATGCGCAGACGACACATCCTAGAACTCTGCTCGTCGTGCTACACACTTCCGTCTCTGTCTCTGAATGCGGCTCCTCTCTATCTGTGTTGAAGGACTCGGAAGCTGTCCTCTAATACTTTCCCTATCTGCTCTGCCAGGTTTGACCTTCACCCCCTCAGAGTGCGACTCCCTGGTCTCTGTCTTCGCCGGCTCCTATGGCCCCGACCGCTACACCCCCGCTGACGTCACCCTCCTCAAGTCCCTCCCAATCTACAAGACCGCACACACCGGCGACCACGTCAGCCTCCCTGCGGGGGGTCCGAATCCCTACTGCACGGTCCCCCCTGCGATGTTTCTGAAGCCCCGGGAGAGGGTTTTGGAGTACCGGGCAGATGCCGGGGGGCTGTTCGCGGCGCTGGGAGTGAAGGAGCTGACGGATGCTGACGTCATGGCTGAGCACGCGCTGCCGGAGTTCGGCGTCCGCAGCCGCGAGGAGCGGGACCGGACGCTCGGACACCTGCAGGCGCACTGGGCCCGGTTCAAGCAGGTCCGGCGCTCTTACCGTGTCTTCTGGCCTTTCTTTTCGTCGTCCGTGCCTGTTTGGCCTGTCTCTGGAGTCCCAAAGTTTGACCTCCTTTTCTCGGTTTTCTGTTCGTTGTCCATCCCTTTCTTTGTTGTTCATCGGGCGTTACAGGTGTTGGCTCCTGACTGGTATCCGCAGCCTGTGATCAGTCATGGATGATTCTTTTTGGTCTTGATGTTTTTTGCTCGGGCTCTGCACACACCTGCAAAGGAAGGGCAGTCGTTGCCTTAGCACAAAAACTCAAGAAAGGCCGAAAAATTGTCCTTTTAAGGCGCTTTCTGCTGGTAGTTTCCGGCACTTTCCGTTCCTAACCTGACTGCACTGCCGTTGCACGGTGGCTACAGTCTGGAAAGACCGCAAGTTCAATTGGCTGCTCTTTAATGGGCGGCCTTTCACGGCTGTTTTACCGTCCGACTCTTTCATCTGGCTTCTTCCTGGTTTGTTTGCTTCCTGGAGTGCTCTTTGTTGGTCCCTGATTGTCAGCTTCACTGTCTACTGCTGTAACCTCACTGTTCGCCGATGCTCCTTTCTCACAGGTTCCAGCTGTTGTTGCCGCCCTCAAAGAAACCGCCTTTGTTCCGTCCGCCGGCCCTTCGCCAGACGGAACGGAACGCTCCCTCCACAAGCCGTCAGACCTCCTGGACCCAAGCAACACACTCCTCCGTCGGGTGTTCTTCGACGAACCGGAACGCTTCGCCGGGGGCGAGTTTGCCTCCGAACGATGGCTTCCGATCCTTCGCGATGCCGGGCTACGTTCTAGCATGGACGGAAGCCTCTATCTAGAGTGCGGGAAAAGAATCGAGGCGCGGGCGAAGGGGGAGGTCCGGTCTTCGGCGGCGGTGCTGCCCCCCGTCACGAGTGTCGAGAGCCGGTTTAGGAGGACGGATAACCGGGCGCCGGTTAGCGGTAACCCGTCTGAGGCGGAGGCAACTAGCGGGGGGACCGACAGGGAGTTGCTCGAAGTTGCGGGGCTGCTTATTGAGAAGATGCTGGGCGAATTTGCGAACGTGTTCGGTCCCGCCTTCTGTGAAGCTTTCAGTCAGATCGGGTGCGTCCCGGCAGAGAGGATCATTTTCAAGGACGTCCGAACAGGCCGCGGGGGCGCCCGGACAACCAGCGTGCGGACGGTTCTCGCTTCTTACCAAGAATCGGTGCTGTCCAAAGACTGGGCTCTGGCTTGGAGCTCCGCCCCGGTTCTAAAAAGCGAGCAGGTTATCCCCCCGGCCTTCGCGTGGGGTGCTCTGAAGCTGCGGAGCCCCCCTGCTTACGCCACCGTAGTCGCGCACCTCAAAACTCTTGGCCAAAACGGGGGGGAAGACGTGCTGGCGCGCTGGGGGGGGATTACAGGGGCGCGGACGGCGGGGGGACACGTGTCAGTCGAGGACGCGTTCCTGGCCGTTTTCAGATTTTTGGATTCGAAGTGGGACGGGCTGTCGGTGTCGGAGCGGGGCTTCCTGAGGGGCGTTCCGTTCATTCCGGTTGCCAACGGAACGCGCCTGGTGGCCCCGGATCGTTTGTACGCGCGCGCGCGCACCGACTTGACGCCGTTCGCATTCGAGCTGCCGCGGCTATTCACACCGTACCTCAGGGTTTTGGAGGGGCTGGGAACGGGGGACGCGCCAACGTCGGAGGGGCTGCTGAAGCTGATTGCGGAGGTGGGTTATCGTAAGGGTGTTATGAGGTGCCTTCAAAAAGCATAACGAGTCTTAGAAGCTTGTGTCTGTTGTGATGATCGTATACATTCTCCTTACCCATCAATGATCCTTTGCAACAGAGACAGTCTTCCCAGTGCAACGTCGGGGTGATCCACGGACACTCTCATCATACAACACTCCTGGTGTACTGAACACCACCCATTGATTTTGCGTGGATCTGCATTCGAATGGCTTGTTCGTCCGTCAAGCAGACAACTTCGCACTAGCTGCCCCCTCACATGGTTCTTCTCCCTTCGACCCACCCCTTCTTCCATTGCTCGGCGACCAAACACCAGCTTCCCACTGCCCACAGGTCGCCCATGCCGCCGGCGGCGAGCGCCTCAACCCCAACGAGCTGCACGCCGTGCTGCGCATCCTCACCCTGGCGTCCGAAGAGCTGGGCAGCGTCCGGAGCCGCGGTCTCGCCGTCCGAAAAGAGCGCATTGTCGTGCCGGACGAGGGCGCGCGTCTGCAGAGGCTGGATGACGTCATCTGCGCGGACGCCGCGGGCGCGAGCCTGGTGAACGAGATCGACGGCCGGAAGGTCCGGCTGACGCACCCGCTGCTGTTGGAGGATGTAGCCGCGCGGCTCGGCGTCCGGAAGCTGTCCGAGAGCGTGGAAGAGGTGAGCGTCCGAAGTTGGTCGTCAGGGTTCGCTTTCGTGTGGCTCTTGTAGGGGAGGCCAGGATCCAAAGTTTCCAGCCGTTGTCGGAATTGATCCTCCTTTGTTTTTCTTTTTCCTCGTTTTTTTTTCAAGTTGACCGGTTTCTAGAGGCGAGGGGTCGGTTTTGCTACTATTCCAGCGTCCACACGTTATCTGGAAGCATGAAGACTGTAACTGCTTCTTAAAGTGCTGAAGGATTGGAGCAGGTCATAGCTTCCGGCTTCGGACTGCCAGTCTAGAGTTTTGAGTCCAATTTTCCGCTTGCTGTTCGAGCCATCACCATGCACATTGCTTTGTCGTTTGGGTTTTCTTCTGTTTCGTATAAGCATTCCTCTTAGATTGTATTATGCATCGGACGTCAGCAGTTGTTACTGGGGCTTGGAAGGTTGCTCCGCGATTATGGTCCCGGGTTCTTGTCCCGACTCTCATTGTGCAGCTTGAATGTAAAAATCGCTCGAGTAGATGATGTCCCTTATGCTTGACTTGCAATGGAATCCCTTGTGCCCTTGCTTGTTAGCATCCGCCGCCGGGCCGAGTCGAACCGCTCTGCACCTTGGACGTCTGCCTTCTCACCCCTGCCTCTGCCCTTACAGGAGCTCGACCAAGCCTGGTTCCCCGAGCACCTCCCCTCCCTCGGAACGTTCTCCCGAGACCAAATCGCGTCCCGCCTCCAAGCCCCCGACTTCGTAAAAGCAGCCACCGCTCTAGTTCACAGCCACGCCGCCGTCGTGCCCTCCCTCCGGCAAGTCACGAGGCGCCACGTGGCAGCCGCTCTGGCCAGCGCGGCTGACGGGCTCCGGCTGGTAAAGACGCTGAGCACGCGGCTGGTGCTGCTGCCCAGCCGAGAGGACGTAACGCTCCGGGAGGAGTGGCCCGAAGCGTTACCTCAGGAGGCGGAAGCAAGTACGGCAGAGATGCCCCCTGAAAGTGCGAGCTTCAGCGGAATGACGTCAGAGGACGCGGAGGGCGCAGGGGGGTCCGAATTCACCGAAAACCAGCCCCTCATTGCGAGGGTCCCTCAGAGCGCGCAAGGCGAGCCGGGCCCTCTGACCAGACCCCAGTCACGTGCGTACTCTTCCGTCCCAACGCACGACGACATTGTGCCACCTGGCGCATCCCAGCCCCCCCACCAAAGCTCACCCACCCGGCCCCCCCGGCAAGCCCCCCGCGTTCACACCCCCTCCCGGCAGCGCACCGTGTACGAGTTCTTCGATCAGCGCTCGGGGATGCTGTTCATCGCCGCGCCGCCATCATACCTCCCCCTCCAGGAGCTCTTCTCGGGCGCGCTCAGCCGGCTGCTGAGCTCCCCGGTTCCCCTCCCCCTGGGCGCCCTGCTGTTCGCCCCCCCGGGAGAAGTGATTCCGCTGTGCCGGGCGCTGCGCGTTCCTCTGCAGGAAATGACGGACGAGGAGGGGGCGCGGCAGAGGGACGCGCAGAGGAGCGGAGCGCCCGGGGAAAAGTTGCTGCTAGAGGACCTGCCGCTGGTGCAGTGCCACCCGCTGCGACCGTACCATGCTGGCGAGGTGAGACGGAACGGACGCAGTTTTTTTATACGGGTCTACAATCTATTGTCTGTTTCCTGTTTCATTCTGCATCCTCGTGCAGATTCCTGGCTGTGTCACCTGGTAAGGCATCGCAATCGGAAGGCCCCTAGTCCCCGAGGCTTCTTTCGAAAAGGATGCTCTGACCAAGCTAAGACCATTCTGCAGATAGCGGAGCTTCGAAAACTTTGGGTTGGAGACTGTTGCACTCTGCACACGTCGTCAACAGAATCTGCAGATGACCAGATTCCCACCGTTACCACTCGACACTTCCTCACATCACAGTGGTCATGCACCTTCTCGGAGGTGGTCGTTTCGCAGCCCGGTCCTTCTCAAGCTGTCAGCATTACGGGGCCTTCCGTGTAGAGACGATTTCTCGATCTAAGCCTCTCTGTCTCCGTTCTCCCCGCAGGTGGTTGCCTGGCAGCCCGGCCCGTCCGAGGCCGGCGTCCTGCGCTACGGCCGCATCGCCCAGGACGTCCGCGCGCCGTCCGGCCAGGCGCTCTACTACGTGGCGCTCGAGACGCGCCCGGGGCATGTGCAGGACCTCCTCTCCAGTGCCGTCTTCTCCTTCCGTAGCGCCTCCTCGCCGGACGGAGGCCCTGTTCCCGGGACGGCGGAACAATCTCGTGCCCAATTTTCGTCGCCAGCAGCTTCTATGGGGCCCTTTGCTCCTCGCCAAGAAGCGAGCCGTGGGGCAGAG